GCAAATACCGAAATACCGTGTCAAAAATCGACGAAATACTGATACCGCATTTATTCTCGGTCACGTTTACTTAAAGTTGTATCCATCTCGCGTGTTTGTTTATCTCAAGCATTTATGCACCAGCAATCAACCTCAGCAAGAGACTATAAAGGGGACAGAGAGGCCATCCCCCATATACACCCTATTCCATAGGTAATTCGTCTCGAGTTATTTTTAGAATCGGGATAAAGTTACCTCGCGCGAGGCGTGGATGTTTCGTGGAGGTTTCGCATGACCAAACGCCGTGCAAAACATGTCGGGCGAGAGGCAATGAAAGCGTAAAAAGATCGAGAGCATTCCTGAATATTGAAGCGAAATGAGTCGGCGCTCACCTGGGAAAAAGGAATCGCTGGACTCTTTGACAACCCGTGAAATCAGTTTAACTCGAAGTTGTCGTAACCTCAGTGCTTTAATAAAATGAGAAATTTCGCCGGTCTATTGAAACCGGTCGTTTGTACAATTTAGGGAGTTTAAGATCCAACGACGCGGACGACAACTAGAACGTCAAAAAAACAATAGGTTTAATTAGCAAAACAACAACTTCGCACGTGCAACACACTTTTTTGTTCATTTCTTTCCCGTTTTTGCACGACTACGACGTGAAAATGCCTAATTTCGCGTTTTATGGAGGACGTAAATAAGCAACGACGAAATTTTATTTCTCTTTCTGAGCTTGAATATGGTCCCTTGAAATTCAGCTTTAGGAGGGTTCGCCTACAATTGACAAAGTAAGTGGGTAGGAATAATCGCTATAAAGACTGAAAAAAATAAACATCAAACCAGAAATTGCTCTCTTCAAACTGTAAATTATAAATGATCCTGAGAGAATATTCAGTGTGTTAAGGATTTCCCTGCTCTACTGTTAGCTCTATACAAGAGAGGAAGGGCGATTCTTTTTTAATTTCGGTTTCGCTGACACAGCTTTCGCAGAAATCTCGCTGTAGTCGTTTTCGTCGACAAAAGGAATAGCAAAATCGCTCTCCGCGTCTTCCCCCATTTTGTTCTGCGTCATTTCGTGAAGGACGCGTGGCTCTCAGCGTGGGTCATCCACGCGGAACACATTCGCGCTATGTGATTGGCTGTTGTCTAATCCCCCTTGAGATCTGTGGTGTTAAAAATAACTCGAGACGAATTACCTATGGAATAGGGTGTATATGGGGGATGGCCTCTCTGTCCCCTTTATAGTCTCTTGACCTCAGCCATTGCGAGGAAACGTGAGACGACCTCGAATTGATCGGTACAACGATCGAAAAGGATGCCCGACCAATTTCATCATAGATTATCTGTCAGAAATTGTGTAATGGTAATCATTTACCATCAATCTAAAGTCTTAAAAATACTGACGTGCATTAGACAGGAGAGCGCAATGAACAGTACTGCAATACTGTGAAGGATCTTTTTTTACCGAATACCGTTAACCAAAAGGATGAAAAACCGCATTAGGCATACCGCAGGGGTAAATGATACCGCAATACCGCACTTTAAAATCCAATTTACCGAAATACCGCTTGAAAAAAAGCTCAGTACCGCAATACCGTAAGCCCCCATTTCCCCCTCCATGCTGTTGAAGAGGTGATAGAAAATTTGGGCTTAAAACATCCACATTATATTTGATGTTTACCATCTTTGTCAATATCGTCATAGCAACAAGCTTTCATCTTTCAATGTTAGTATGTTGAAAGACATTTGCGGGTATTTCAAAATACCTTACAAATCTAGAGATCTAAAAAGAGACCTTTTAGGCAAGGTTTCAGAACTTGTAAAGGAATGTGACTGAGTGCAGCAAAAATAATTTCTTTTTGTAACTTTCCTGCTTAAGAGTTTGAGTGCATGGTATGCTGTCCAATGTTATATGACAAGTTGTGCGTAGTGCATTGGTTATTATCTAAATATCGTAAATATTATTGTGGAAACAATTTATTAAGCATTTTATAAAATGAACTTGCAAAATGAGTGAGGCATTTTCATCGAATTAAAAACCCTACCGGTCTCCTGTCTTTTTTTTATGATGTCCTCCCCGATCGTTGGGTGACCCTATTCGGGGGAATGGCGGAATACATGGAATATTGTAAAATACGGAATATACGGAATACTCTAAAACACGGAATATACAGAATATTCTGTATTTGATTTGAACTGGGCTGACAAAAAAGCAGAGGCAAAGAATACTCGGTTGTTTTGAAATATAAAAGAAACAATTTTCGTACTGCCGTAAGCCACACTATAGACCTTATGACGGTTTTGAAAGCCATCTTGACGGGTGAAGGGTCTTGTATCACGGGAATCTAATGTCGGATAATTTTTATAAAACGGCTGTTCTAAATAAAAGAAGAATTGTAAACTTAAGCTTGACAGGATTGTACTTAGAATTAATGGGGTCACACCTGTGCCTAAATTTGTCCGGTCGCTTGCTTTAGATTTTCCAGACATTTGTCCGCAATTTTTCCTGGGAAATTTTGGTCGGCAAGAACGAGAAAAAATTACACAAAACACTTTATATTTTCACGCGGAGCAGTGATTCGTTTTAGCGCCCTCCTTCCAATAAGCGATCCCCCTTTCGAATAAGCGCCCCTTTCAAATGTGTTTTGTTAATAAGCGCTCCCATTCTAATATTAGGGACCTTAAGATCCGAGGATGGTGAAGGCAGTGAAAACGTCGCTGAAAAAATGAATTCGAGTTCTTTCAATCTTCATCGCGATTACTCTAAGTCACTAACTTTGTCAAATGTAGGCAACCCCTCCTAAAGTTGAATTTCTAAGAACCATATCCAAGTTCAGAAAGAGAGAGGAAATCTCGTCGTCGCTTGTGTACTTCCTCTTTACATCGTGAAATTAAGCATTTTCACGTCGTAGTCGTGCAGTGACGGAAAAAAAAAGTACAAAAATGCGTGATGCACGTGCAAAATTGTTGTTTTGCTAATTAAACTTTTTGCTTTTTGTGGCGTTCCCGTAGCCTCCGCCGTCGTCGGTCGGATCTTAAGGTCCCTATTATATAAGAGTACGGGTACGTACTCCTGTCTTCATTTAATAGCTCACAAACGAAAGGCATTTCCACATTACAAAAACAGTGGTCTTTATGTCCATGTGAGTGCATAAAGTCTTCAAAGGAATGATCTCTTCTTCAAATTTTGTGGCGATTGCTCGGCTGGTTGTTCTGGTGAGGAAGGATCCAGGGACAACAAGTCCGTTTTCCAAAAATTAGTATTAAATCGAGTTAGCACGAGGTTCGAGTCGGTAGCGAGGGTTCGAGTTATTGGAGTCGACTGTTTACATGTATATTTTAGTATTCCATATATTCCATATTTTAGAATATTCCGTGTATTCCGCCATTCCGTCAGTCCGCCATTCCACTGAATAGCGTCACCCCCTATATTTTGATGTCCAAGAAAATACTAAACGCGGGGCTAATCAGTGCGCTAAAGCTTTCTAAGAATTGAATCTGTTAGCTACATTTTATAGTGCTAGATACTAGCGCTTTGAGAAAGAAAAAAACGTAATTCTTGAGGGTAATGAACTCAGTTTTCGCGATCAAGATGTTCCTCGTTCTGGGGAGCGACAGTACTCTAACATCTCTTTTTTTTCCTTGAAGGCAGACACTGGACATTGACATGAATGATTCTCGCCCAACAAAAAAAAAAACATCGAGTCATGCAGATATCTTTCAATAGACCGCTGGCCAGAAGCGTCGACTCGTGATCCCACAACGCTCAGATCACACTGAGGTCAAAACTGTGCGGCGGTTCGGGAATTTTTTATTTTTAAGTCACCATCGCTTGTGAAAAAATAAAATCACATTGTTTCACTTAACGCTTTCTGGCCGGGAAACAGTTGTTTTCCTATTTGTGCATTCGTTTAGATTCCGCCGCAGTTTAGACAAATGATGTCAATAGCCGCTGTCACGCGACGACATTTTCCAGATTCAAGTTTCGTCAGCAGATGGTAATTTTGAGTTATTTTCTTTTTCTGCCCATTTTTCATCTTCCTTTCTCTTTTAATTCTACGTCCTTCTACTTGGGATGGTCTCTGAGCGCCTAGCAAGGATTAAAGTGGCGTTTACCACACTATCCACGGCCGTATTGGCAACAGAGAAGTGTTACGCCGGAGTAGCAAGATAACGGTAAACACGGTAACTTTGAACGCTTTGTACAACGTCAATATACTTTGGCCGAAAAATGTTTTTCCAGAATCGTAATGTATATCCCTCCAATGTCTGATTGACCACTGTGATTGCTTTGAACAGCGTTGGACTTTTGAGAAATAATTATTTTAAAATCAGCTCCAGCGCTCTATCTTATTTAGTATGCAATATTAGAAAATTTATTTTTTATTCACTTCGGCTGTTTTTCGATGTTCATCGAATGATATTGCATTAGAAGGCCTTTTTCTTCATCACTGTGTAGTTTTCTCATTATTTTGCTTTGCGATAGTGATTTCTGAACCGTTTTTTGCGAGGGCTTATTTTGGGCCTGATTTTGCTGCTATCAGACGGAAAAAGTTTGCGGCTCTATATTTTTGGTTTAAAGCGAAACTGAAACAAAAAAAATTCATTTTTGAATAGTATTCGGTAACCTCTACTTGGGAGATAAAAATCGGCCGATTTTATTTTTTAGCCGGAAATCATCGGTCGTTTCTAAGGAACTTGAGTCTTTTCTAAATTATAAGGGCTTCACTATTATTTTTCCGAAAATTTTCGATGCAATTTCAAGTATTACTAAACTGAGACATTTTCTGATTTCCAGGATTTCTGTTTCCATTGCATTTTTGAGTCCAAAAATTTTAGGTTTCCTTTTCTCTACAAAAAAAGAGCCTAACTTGGGAAGTGAAATGTGAAAATTAAACTTCAGAAAATCCATTGAAGTAATTTATTAGATAAGCTACGAAAATTGTACATGAGTGCAACGATCATCTACAAATTTTTAGCCTACCTCAAGTAATAGAAAATTCTAGGCAATATTAGATTCTCCGAACAGATATTTCACAGAAAACAGTCGTTGGGTGCCCCATGGCCCAGGGACGAGGCAAGTGCTGACGGCTTTTGTGGTGTTAGCTGTTAGGTGTCCGTCATTTTGGTCACTTATAAAAATGACCTGGGACCTGCGTCGTACCCAGACGTCTCTCTCTCTCGATCAAAATGTGCGCGCAAAGGAAGGCGGGAAGGAGACAACGGGCGAGACGGCGCTTCGCCCGCCGTCTGTACCCTTCCCACGGTCCCTTGGGTTCATCACCTGTCGCTCGCCTTTACCTTGCCTGCGTGCAGAAGTCTCCTATTTCCTTTGTTGCACGCGGAAAAGGGACGTCTGCGTAACGCCGTCGCTAATCGTGTTCCAGCGTCCCGCTGGCAGGGTATTCTATTTCGCATAAATTGTGAAATAATATCCGGTTAGAAATAAGAGTTGACAGGCCAAACAAAACATCATAAGCTCGTGATACGGGTGAAACGTGACCTTGGGAGTCTGCTTGAACAGAGGTTTTTCTTCTTTTCTCTCTCGCGCGAAGATTACTAGCACTGCACAGTGCATGTAGCATTCTAACCTTTGACTGAGTAAATCTCATTTTTGCCGCGCTAAGTCTTCCATTTAGAGGTCATGAAGCAGGTTTGTTACATGCATACTGAGTAATTATTTCCTGTGGTTTATGCTTCTGTGGGTGTTCCCGATAGGATTTGATTTCAGATGCAGTTGTAAAGTGTTTAAATTTTCTTGACCTCTGTTTGTTACGGCTAAATAAAGATTTTAGTTTCTTTGGCTGGCTTTCTCCGAAATGCCTGCCTGGTGCGAAGTCCACGCCGCTTTTGTAGTTTTCTCAGACACTGTTTACAAATATGATGTGATGTGTCATGCAGAGTAAATTGTAAAGAAATAATTTCCTCGTACACGTTAAATTTTCCGCGTCCCCGCACAAGATTTCGATCGCTCTGCTTTTCGATCGACGAAAAACACAGCACACAATCGCACATGTTTTGATTTGTTTTGGTTAGAAAACCCCGCTTACATAAATCATTTAAATCACCGCATACATTATCAGACCACATTCGATAACAACCAATCAGCGTTAAGTCAAACAATGCGCACTGTGTGTCAGCCTATCACAGCGTGTTCCCAAGATCTTGGGAACCCAGCAGGACGCTGGAACACGATTAGCGACGGCGTTACGCAGACGTCCCTTTTCCGCGTGCAACAAAGGAAATAGGAGACGTCTGCACGCAGGCAAGCCTTTACCTTGCGAAAAACGAAACGCCTGAGCAGGAGGCTGACCTAGGACTTTGCTGCAATCAAATGTGGGATGAATGTTGGCAGCGTTTTAAGCCCAGAAGAATTGATTTTAAAAAATTCCTTTTTCAATTACGGCATGTTTCAAAGGTTCACTCAGATGCTCGAATAACTAACTCGGTTACGATATTTACAGAACAGTACATGTCGATGGCCAGCGCTAAAAACTTAAAATGGTATCTGCAGTTTAATTCGGATGAGCTTCAGTGACTTTCCGAAGCCCGAAAGTCATCCGTCACTTGTTGCCAATTCAACCGCGAAGGAGAATGGACCCACAACCTCCGTCGTTTGCACATTCTTCGTCTACAGCCATTTTAATAGGCTATTTCAGAGTTTTAAAATCTTTCACTTTCAAAACGAGGCTAAGTGCAAAAACTTTCTTGTGATAATGAGTCCTATTTGCATGAGAATAAAAAGGAATGTTCATATCAAAGCTTATCAATGGCCTCGCACTTAGCCTCGCTTTGAGCTTTGGGCAACTCGGAAATCGCTTATTGACGAGATCGAAAAGCCAAATGACACCGCATAGCAGTATGGGTAGCTTCAAAGTCAAAAAACAATTCGTTTTACGAGCAAACAACTGCTCTGCACATGCATCACGCTTCTTAGTACATTTCTTTGACGTCCACTGCACGACTACGACGTGAAACCTCCCAATGCAACGTTTTGTGAAGGGCATGAACATACAACGAGAAATTGTCCTCCCTCTATTTGAACATGGATAAAGTCGTTCAGAATTCAACTCAACGAAAACTCGCCTGCAATTGACGAATTGTGCGGTTTCAAATAAACGCGATAAAGTTTGAAAAGACGCAAATCCATTTGTTTAGCAATGTTTTCACTGCCGTCGTCGTCGTTGTTACTTGAGATCCCTGTGTGTGCTCCGTGGAGCGAGATGCCGGAAAGGTATATCCGAGATTCAAGCAGCACTTAATCTTGGTGTCACTACCCTTAGGCCAAACGAAGGATTTTGCCTCCACCACACAATAGAAAACATAAAACAACGTTAGAGGCATGGGCGCGTCGGTCAGCCAAGCATATGCTGAAGAACAAACCAGAGGTTACAGGTAAATATCAAGACACAAGTTGACGTGGCGAGGTTGACACGATACCTCGCGAGCAACACGACAAGCTAGTTCATTGTACCGTGCCGTCATGGTATACAATTGCGTACATAGATCAATCTCGTTCCCAGGTTTCTCTGAGGAGCGGGATGAGGGGCTAGTTACTTTTCCACGGTTCTCTTCAGTGACGGTCGATTTAATCGCCAGAAACGAGGGGCACAAGAACAACACATTTTGTGACTGTACACGAACTATTGAGTAATAGTTTATTTTGACATAAAACTTAATATGACAGCTCCGGCTTAAAGCTCTACATAGTTACTCTGATATCAAGTGTTGTAATCACTA